AAAGTTCTTAAATCATGAGAGAGAGAGAGAGAAGTGTATTTCTTGAGCTTCCTAAAGTCCTCAGTAGGATTTTCAAAGTTTAATACCAAAAAAAAATTAATTGACTTAAAATAATTTCGTATTACATACTGTTCATAATTTATTTTAGTATGACAAAGAATGCATGGTTGAGTGTTACCTTTTTTGTTTCCAGCTTGTGAGTGTAATCCCCTTGGATCTGAAATACCATTATGCAATCCAGACAGTGGGCAGTGTCGATGTAAAACTAACTTCACTGGGAGACAATGTGACAACTGTATTGTAAGTTTTGCCCTTATTAGTATTTTTGTTTTGAAACTGAAAAAAGATGAATGTTATTGCTTTTGAATTTCTTGAGTTATTAATTTAGCAGAATACAATATATGTATGGATGTTTACTATATCATTGTGCAGTATTCTCAGGTTAATTGATTTCCTCAAAGAATGTTAGGTAGATACACTTTATAATTGGAGGAAAGGCAGGATAAATCATGAAGTAAATCTGAGTTTAACTAAACTGTCTACATTTTCAGCTAGGGAATAGAAAGACTGGACATGATTTGTAATACAAACTGAGAATGGTCTTTATTTCAAAGACACAAAAACAATGTGTACTTGCAATGGACACAAGACAGTTGCCTTCTACTCAAGGTTTGACTTGATCAACAGTTGTTTTTCCTTTGTGATATCTTTCTATCAATCATCTCATTTAAGATCTGATGTAGCAACTGTTCAAATCTGATGCTCCTCATTTAACATTGGATTTACCCAGAGTGATTAATGCTATATATTTGACTAGTAGTTCTCATTTAATATTGGAGAGGTAGCCTCTCGGTACCATCTTCTGTATCATTGAAGCACACTGCTGGCATTGACCTTCTTGCAGTACATGCAGTGTTACAGCCCCCTTTCCACAGGTGGAGCAGGTATTGTCTCTAGAGAACAACAAAGGAACAAAGATAGGTAGAATGAAGTTGTATGAAATATGAAGGGACTCAGACTCAATGAAAAATCTTTAAAATTTTAGATTAAAATAAAGTAGAATATTTATAGTAATCCTAACTACTACACGTGTTGAATCATGTGTATCTTACATAAGTTGACAAAAATAAACATCTGTTTACAGAAAGTGTTAAATGTTAGGAATATCATACTCTTATTATTTAAAAGAGGCTCAGTGTTGCTTTCCTCTAAATTGCACATGAAAGAGACCTGTTAACATTTTAGCTCTTTAGAAGTCTCTAGAACATGCACAAATATTTCATCAGAAGACACTTTCGTAACATTTAAGCCATTAATAAGTCCGTAAAGCAAAAACTAAGATTATTCACAATGATTGAGAATACGTTGAAAATTATATTAGAACCACAAGAACTAGTTAGAAATTATATTAAGGTTTATTACAACTATGATGCAAAATCTACACCTGAAAAAGGAAGTGCAGAATAAAAATATTGTGGAAAATCATTTATTTAACCTTTTTTTACCGTGTATCCTGAGTTAACTCGTCCAGCAATAACCTAATACGCAGTGTGAACCCCGAGTATACTCATCATCAGGCATTACATTCACTTACCCACTGTGTACAACGTGTTGACTCGTCCTGCCTACAAAAAACAAGCACAATGTCATTAACGTTCAGAGGGAGGGGTAACATAACAGCCTACAATCTCCCTTGTCATTCATGATTGTTTTTAGCTATTGTAAAATACAATGGTGGGTCAGATATGTGGTCTGTCTGCAGACGAAATACAACATATGTTATTTGATTCTGAGGATAGCATATTAGAATATGATAGTAAGTCTAGTTCTAGTGATTTAGATGTGGCAGATGATGATGACTGTGGTGAAAGCCAGATGGATGGTTCTATATCATTTGCGTGGTCTGGTGTGGAATGTAATCAGATTACACAAGTGATCCGTTAGAATATTTCAATTTGTTCATTACTGATGACATGATTAGTATGATTGTTACTGAAACAATCAGACTAGTGTGTCAGCTTATTGAGGGCTTGACCTTGAAGTGCAGAGCCAGATTGAACCAGTGGACTGATGTGACAAGCAATGAAATGAAGGTTTTGTTTGCAGTGTTTATTTATCAAGGAATTATTCAAAAGCCTGAGGTTGAGTTGTATTAGTCAACAAAACCGTTGCTTGACACACTATACATCAGCTTGCTCTCGAAATATCTTCACTTCGTTGATAACAGTTCATTGCCAGAGACTACATCAGCTGCAGATAAATCATTCTGGAAAATCAAACTTCTTTGATGCACCTATTGAAAGATTCTCCACTGTTTGTGTACCTGAACAACAAGTGGCTGTTGAATCATTGATGCTGTGGAAGGGGCATTTGGCCATGAAGCAGTACATTCCATTGAAGCGATCTTGCTTCGGTTTGAAGTCTTACAAGCTGTGTGAATGTGAAACAGGCTATATTTGGAAGTCAATTATTCACATTGGACAAGCAATGCAATTAGAAGAATAAGTGGATGGTCTATCATCATGAATTGTGCTGACACTTGCTAAGAACCTCCTTGATCAAGGCTATTGTATTTTCATTACCAATTGCTATAGTTCACCGAGCCTGTTCAGAGAACTACGTATGAAACAAACTAATGCTGTGGGAACTGTGAGGTTAAATCAAAAACACATGCTGTCTGAATTGAAGAAGAAAATTTCTCGTGGTCAAAAAACTGCAATGTATACATATAACATGGTGGCTATGAAGTGGTTGGATAAATGAGAGGTCACACTCTTGTCAATGTTGCACAAAAATGAAATGACAACTGCATACACACACACACACACACACACACACACACACACATCAGGGAGTTAAATGAAAACCCACTGCAGTGCTTATGTACAACAACAATATGGGAGTAGACATGATGGATCAGATTCTTGTAGTATATCCAGCAGAACATAAGAGACATAAAGTGTGGTACAAAAAACAATTTCACCACTTGCTCAATCAAACTGTACTCAACAGTTATATTCTATTCAAAAAAGACAATGCAGCTGTGCCTTTGGGCAAAATGCATCACTTACAGTAGAGAATAAAGCTGATTGAGAGAATTCTTGAAACTTATCATGATCTGGCCATGATTCCTTGCAGAAGAAGACCATCGCTGAACGAATCAAATCCTCTGACATCATTTCCCAAAGTTTATTCTGCCAAATGAAGGCAAAAGTACTCCAACACGATGGTGCAAGGTTTGTTGCTCTCTCTTATACTGGTCCAGATAAGAAGAAAATCGGGATGGAAAAAATATATTTTTGTCATCTATCAAATAACGTATCATATTACATTGTGTTCTGAACAGAGAATTGTCAATTTCTCTTCTACTACAAACTTCGTTCTCATGCGAGGGATAACTACTAGCTTGGATGAATTGGTAATGGCTCTTGTTGCATAGCTAGAAAGCCAGAAAAATTGTGATAGTTAGGCAAAATTGTTTGCTTTTTGCATGTTATTATTCTATGTTCTTTGGTGCATTATTTAATTAAATAAAAACTTAGTGCATTACTACCATTAAAGTAGGGGTTAAGTGTCATTGACAGTCGACAGCAAAAACAGAATACTTGGATAAGCACTTTATTTCTTGTTTTTCATGTTTATTCTTTATTATTTGTTATAAAGGTAACTGTAATGTAAAAATAGGGATCTTTTTAGGTTAGTTAAGATTAGGTTAGGTAAAATAAATAATAATAAAAAATGTTTCACAAAGCACGTATGCAAGCAGCTCGTGGGTAATGTAATTCGATAGCGTTACATGAGCTCCACGTTCCCAAAGTGATTTACAACTTGTAATGGTGGAATAGTAGTTGGACACGATTCAAAGGGTAATAAAACAATAAAATTCAATTATAAATAAGTGTATACTGTTATGAGTTTAAAGCTTCATGTAGTTTCATGTTACAATTTGAAGTCATTCTATGAAAAAAAAAAGGGGGTAAGTTAGATAATTTTTATTTTTCTTATTTATTTATTGATAGTACGAGTTGAAAGATAGTCAAGAAGATAGTAAATAGAGTTTTTTTCGAGGTAGAGTTGAATGAGTCAGTGGTTTTTGTGAAGTATTTGCATCTATGTTTGCTGTCACACTTATTGAATTGCTTTGGTACAATTATGTTGATTTGTTTAATGTTACTTACCATCATTTGTAACATAGGCCTACAACAATTCACGACAGCGTTCAAGGTTGTAGTAAGATTAATAGAAAAAGTAAAGTAATTTATTATTATTACAGGGACTGGGTGTTTAATTATTTTTTTCTGTATAATTTAAATGGACCTGCCAAAGGCACAACAATATATTTATTCTCCTTCTTAACTCAGTCATTTTAACATAGTGCAAAAATTGTTTTGATTCTAGGAACCTGTTCAGAAATATTTTTGAACTGCCTATATTTAAAACAATTTTATAATTACAAACTTAGTGACTAGTAATTATGTATCTTTACTATACATCAAAGTGCTGAATTTTTCCTGAATTAATTGCAGTTTCTATCAGTATTTATCACTTATCTATTGACGATAAATTGATGATTTTAACTTTTTTCTGCTTTTTAGTAGTTAGGTATGGTATGAGACTATCTAGTACTTTGGGTTAAACAAAAATAGTTTTATTTTTGAACATTCATTCTAAAGACTTGGATGAGTTATTGCAACAAAATTGGTTCTCTTTAATGAATGCAAGAGTAACACTGCATTCGGGCATTTGTGATGTGAAATAATGATTAAGTTCAAAAGTTGTTTGTCTTAATCCTTTTTTTATATATATATATATATATATATATAAAA